CAGTTCCCTGTCCTTGAACTGGGGAGAACCGGAGAGACACTGTCTCAGATCCTGACCTTGTATCTCCACTCTCTCTGGCCAGACACCCGCCAAGGATTCTGCTTCACTGAAGTACTGCAAACCATGTGCCAGATGTCCTCCACCAACCGCAACCTGGTCACCAAATCTGAGTGCTGCTGCAACAGTGGGCGCAGCTGGGGTCCCCAGTGCGAGCTCTGTCCCCTTCCCGGTACTGCCCAGTACAAGAAGATGTGTCCTCATGGGCCAGGGTACTCCACTGACGGGAGAGGTGAGCTGGGACCCAAATCACCTTCAACACAGAGGGGAGAAAGCAGAGCCGTGGGTACAGGCAGAATTCCCCTGGGAGCTGGCTGGGGTGGACCTACGCGGTGCCTGGAGGAGACAAGAAGCCTCTGCGACGTTATTTTACAACTCCCTAAATGTCTCTGGCATCCCAGGGAGAGTCTGAGCTGCCCTGGCACAGTGCTGGCAGAGGAGCGCGGGGACAGAAGCGGCGTTGGCACTTAACAGGTCCTTCTCTCCCTCCCGCAGACATCGACGAGTGCAAGGTGCTGCCCAACCTCTGCAAGAACGGACAGTGCATCAACAGCATCGGCTCCTTCCAGTGTCTGTGCCAAGAGGGGTATGACCGGACCCCTGATGGGAAGAACTGTGTAGGTGAGTGTCTGGGCAGCGGGCTGGACCTTCCCAGTGAGCTGAGCTGTCTGCTGGTGTGGTTGGCACTGTGCAGTGCGATGAGACCTGGTCCCCAGGCTGGTACCATCAGAGGCAACTGGGCAGTGAACTCTCCAGAACCACTCACAAGACCCCAAGTCCTCTGGAACCAAAGCCTGGTCACTTGACTGCCCATGAAAAGCTGGACTGGGCCCCAGTATGCCCTCATCTCCCTTCCAGCAACGCAGGGAACAGTCAAACCAGTCCCTTTCTGTGTGCTGAGACGTGCAGGCAGCGAGGAGAAATGTCCTGTCCATACCCCTAAAGCGTGGAGAGTTGTACCAGGGGTGCCTCGGGAACCACCCTGCGGGCAGGGGCCGTGGGGGCAGACGGGCACGTTGTGCCCTGGTGACTTGTGGCCACCGCTCCGCCTCCTGCGGCAGCAAGTCCTGCAGGGCTGAGTCCACGTTCCCAGGGCACGCCAGGCAGAGCAGCCGGGAAAATGTCTTCTCTGCTTCCCTTGCGTCTTTTGGGCAAAGCAGGGCGCAGCTGCAGGTAGGGCCTGGGTGCACCCAAGTCCTCTGAGCCGAGCACAGATGCTGTCACTGGTTATTTCTCCTCCTTTGCAGACATCAACGAGTGCATGAGCTTGCCTGGGACCTGCTCCCCGGGCACCTGCCAGAACCTGGAGGGCTCCTTCCGCTGTATCTGCCCCCCCGGGTACGAGGTGCAGAACGACAACTGCATCGGTAATGTTGCCTCTCTGCCTCCTCCATTTCCAGCGCAGCATGCGGTCACCTCGGACTGTTCCCAGAACAACCATATTCTTCCTGAGCGGGCTGGGGCGTGCGTCACCACCCCCAGATATCTTCTTGAAAGCAATCGGACGCAGAGCAAGGCAAGGCCTGCTCCCATGGCGGAGGAGGCTCGGTGGTTTTGCTGTGCCTTGGCCTCTCCATTGTCCCCTTTGCCCTGCGGGTGGGTTGAGGGTTAGGGCCGAGGTGACGTCCTGCAGGCGGCGGAGCTCCCCAGACGTCACAACTTCAGCTGCTTTTAATGCAATGAGGAAAGGAGCGACCTTCGGCTGCTGTGTAAGTAGTATGTCCCTGCTGCTCCCAGATATCAACGAGTGCGAAGAGGAGCCCAACATCTGCCTCTTTGGGACGTGCACCAATACCCCTGGCAGCTTCCAGTGTGTCTGCCCTCCAGGCTTTGTGCTGTCTGACAACGGCCGACGGTGCTTCGGTGAGTGCAGCTCATCGGGGTGGGGAGGGGACCATCACCATCCCGGCTGTCTGCCATGACCTGTGCGTTCCCCCATCCTCCTACAGATACTCGCCAGAGCTTCTGCTTCACTCGCTTTGACAACGGGAAGTGCTCTGTCCCCAAAGCCTTCAACACCACCAAGGCTCGGTGCTGCTGCAGCAAGATGCCGGGAGAAGGTTGGGGAGATCCCTGCGAGCTGTGTCCGCAGGAAGGAAACGGTAGGTGCGCCGGGAGTGAGCTCCACGGGAGAGATGGCTGCCTGCGTCTCCGACACGTGCAGGGTGTGGGGAAGGTCAGGCAAGATAACCAACGATGCAAGCCGTCCACCAAAGCGAGCTCCTCCCTCTGGAGAGTACTGCCTTTGAAACCTAGTAGCCCTTACGGGACTGCAGTATTCCGTGGATCTCCAGCAACCACAGTCAGGCTCTTGGGAAATGGACTGCTCTTTCTGCTTTGGATCTGCTCTCGGTTCTCTGTGGGGCTTTAGATAAGGCAAAAGCATCTCAGTCCCTCCAGATCCAAGGCAAGCACAAGTGTTTTCCAACCAGCTGGGCTTTTGTGGCCTCTCATGGGCGGTGAGCTGTCAAGCTCTCAGCCGTGCCCTAGAAGCCTCCAAAAGGACATTTCAGCTTCTGTGAGTTGAAGCACTTGTAAACGTAACTCACTTTTCCGCTTTCTTGCAGTTGCCTTCCAGGAGCTGTGTCCATATGGCCATGGAGCCATCCCAGGCCCAGGCGACACCCGGGAAGGTAAGGTCTGATCTAGGGATGAGAAGAAATTCGTTTCGGGGGGCGGTTGCCTCGAAGCCACCAAACTTGGGCTCTCTGGAGAGCAGGGTTGAATCCCAGCGGCAGGAGGGGAGAGCTGTAGGACCGGGTTCCCTCCTCAGCTCACGGTCCCTGACTGCTCACCAAAGGTTCAGCCCCCAGCTCTGGAGAGAGCTGACTGCAGGGTCAGTCCTGAGAGGACAGCGATATGTCTCTGGCCATGTGCTCACACGAGGTTTCGTTGCTTTGGTTTCCCTTCTAGATGTTAATGAATGCTCAGAGAACCTGGGGGTCTGCATAAACGGAGCCTGCATCAACACTGATGGGTCCTTCCGCTGCGAGTGCCCCTTTGGGTACAACCTGGACTACACAGGAGTCAACTGTGTGGGTAAGGGTCTGCCTGGGGAGCGCCTGCTCCCTCCTGCTTCTGTCCTCCTCGTGTCAGAGGCTCTGAGCATGTGCTTGTGTGAGTGTGGAGAGAAGGAACCTGCTTCTCTCCTGCCCCTTTTGCTTTTTACCCCCGGCTCCTGGCTTTGCCGGGCTTGTTTGAATGCTCTGGCTGCAAGAAGAGACCAGCCTGCGCCTTTCCTACCTCACCCATCCACCTAACGTGGTCCCGCCTTCCTCCAGATACCGATGAGTGCTCCATTGGCAACCCCTGTGGGAACGGCACCTGCACCAACGTGGTGGGAGGCTTCGAGTGCGCCTGCGATGAGGGCTTTGAGCCAGGTCCCATGATGACATGCGAAGGTAACGCTGCTCTGGGGCAATCCCTCCACCCCCATCGCTTACTGGGTGACCACACTTGGGTCACTGCCTGGGTGAGCAGCAGTCAGGTCAGCCTCCAATGGACAGTAGAGATAATCTGGCTGGGACTCTTCTCCGTGTGAGTGTGTACATCAGCACTGGTCCCCTTTGGCTTCCTCTGAGGCTGGAGCCCAGGAGGAGACCTGGAGACCTGCCTAAAGGCAGGAGCTGCCTCACCAAGGAGCCAGGACCCTGTCCCCATCAAAGCTGTTGAGACACCAGGTGTCTGTCCCTCTGCCACTGAAGACCATGACAGGAAGCCTTGGCGGAGCAAAATTCTCAGGAGTTGAATGCAGGAGGAGGGAGGGAGTCTTTGTCCTGGGGAGGTCCACCACCTTTACTGCTCAGCTGACTGCTGAGAGCGCCCAGTCAAGCTCTCTCCTCTCTCCTGCCTCCCAGATATCAATGAGTGCGCGCTGAACCCCCTGCTCTGCGCCTTCCGCTGCATCAACACCTTTGGCTCCTACGAGTGCACCTGCCCATCTGGATACGCCCTCCGAGAAGACAGGAGAATGTGCAGAGGTAAAATCCCCTTTTGCACCCATCAGGGAGCTCCCGCACTCTCCCCGGGCCCCCACACTCAGCCGGTCTCGGGTGCCGTACCGAGGGAAGGCAGGATTTCAGAGCTGGTATCTCTGGGCTTGCGCCCACTCTCGCCTACCTTGGTGTCTGCGCTGTGTGCCAGCCAGCCCGCACCAAGGCGGTAGGGGCTGGGGGGGCAGCGCAGATGGGAGCGCTGGGTTCCTGGTTGCCCCCTCAAGTGCCGCAGAGCCGGCAGGTCGGATGTGGTCTCAGGAGGTTCTCGGTTGCAGATCTGGATGAGTGCGTGGAGGGACTGCACGACTGCGAGTCTCGAGGGATGCTGTGCAAGAATCTCATTGGCACCTTCATGTGCATCTGCCCGCCAGGAATGCAACGCAGACCCGATGGAGAGGGCTGCACAGGTACTAAGGACCAGTCTGGGAGGGGTTCCCGGTGGGGCTGGAGACCATCCTCTTCTAGGCATTGGCCGTGTAGCTTTATTTTACGTCCTTCTGTCAAACAGCTCCTCCCCAGGGTTTCCCATGCCTCAGAAATTCCTGTATGTCCTACTACACGCCTGCACAAACGAAACCTCTGTTCATCTCTGGCCCCACGGGTCTAACCCAGTTCTAGCGCAGGATGACGCAGCATTGTGCCATGTGTCCTTTCTGTCGAGTCTTTCCGTGTCTGTGTCAAGCTCCTTTGCACTGAGCCGTTTTTGGAAAGGCCAGTGCTGGACAGCCCGGACTCGCACGCTATTAGGCACAGCAGGAACGCAGAACGAGCCCAGCTCCACGCCAGCCCCAGCGGCTCGGGCACTTGTAGGTGGAAAATACGCAAACCCGGGAAGCCGGGTGCTCAGCCACCCTGCCTTGGGAGAGGTCCAGGGCAAGTGGATGTGTTTTTTGGCTGCCTAAGGATGTGGAAGTGGTCCTCAAGGACTATCTGAGGGTGCTTCAAACTGAGTGGTAGCGTTGGGGGCTCACGGAAAGCTAAAATTTATCCTGTGCCTGACAGCAGCTCTTCGTGGCTCCTTCCTCCCTAGATGAGAACGAGTGTCGCACCAAGCCTGGAATCTGCCCCAACGGCCGCTGCATCAACACGGTGGGAAGTTACCGCTGTGACTGCAACGAAGGTTTTGAAGTCAGTCCCTCTGGCACAGAGTGTATTGGTGAGTACCGAGTCCTGGTGGGTCTTGAGCAGTCTCTTTTTTGTAGCAGATGGTACTTTTCAGGTGTTTCAGGGTTTCTGAGGGGAAAGGTTGTTGGGGCATCACCTTTACCTTTATCCAAACCACACTACCCTCCTCACTGGAACTGGCACAGGCTGGACAGGCTGCTCGGTGATCCCTGGTGCTGACAAAATCACGGAATCCCAGACTGGTGGGAGTCAGAAGGGCCCTCTGAAGCTCCCCCAGTCCACCCCCACCAGAGCAGGGGCACCTCCAGCAGTGGCACAGGACGGCGTCCAGGCGGGTTTGGGATGGCTCCAGAGGGGGAGACTCCCCCAC